AGGGTTTCATGCATGTTAGGTAAGCACTCTACCACTAAGCCACATTCCCAGCCCAGGGGAAAGAATCTTTAAACATACAATCAGGCAGGGCTGGGAAGGTGGCTCTGTGGTAGAGTGCTTGCCTAGCATGCATGAAACCCTGGGTTCAATTCCTCAGTACCACATTCACAGAAAAAGCTGGAAGTGGCGCTGTGGCTTAAGTGGTAGAATGCTAGCTTTGAACAAAAGAAGCTCAGGGACACTGCTCAGGACCTCAGTTCAAGCCCCAGGACTGGCCAAAAAGCAAAAAGAAACAAGAAAAAAATACAATCAGGCATTAAATTCTATATCTAAGAGTAGCACAGGAGTTGAGAACAGAAAAAAATCAAGGAAGAACCAGGTATTGGTAGCTCATGCCTATAATCCTAGCTACTCAGAGGGCTGAGATCTGAGGATTGCAGTTCAAAGCCAGCCCTGGAAGGGAAGTCTGAGCCTTTATTGTGTGGGGAGGCTTTGAACTCAGGGTTTGGGCCTTGTCCTTGAACCTTTTTGTGCTCAAGACTAGTGCTCTACCACCTGAGCCACAGTGCCACTTCTGTTCTTTGAGTGGCTAATTGGAGATAAGAGGTCATGGGGACTTTTCTGACTAGGCTGGTCTCAAACCACAATCCTCTAATCTCAGCCTCTTCACATTCTTTTTTTTTTTTTTTTTTTTGCGGGTCTTGGGGCCTGAACTCTGGGTCTGGGCACTGTCCCTGAGCTCTTCAGCTCAAGGCTAGCACTGTACCACTGGAGCCACAGCGCCACTTCCGGCTTTTTCTGTTTGTGTGGTGCTGAGGAATCGAACCCAGGGCCTCATGCTTGCAAGGCATGCACTCTACCGCTGAGCTACCTTCCCAGCCCTGATCGTAGCCTCTTGAGTAGTTAGGATTACAGGCATGAGCCACTGTCATCTAGCTGTATGAGAATTTTTTTTTTTTTCGGTCATGGGGCCTGAACTCTGGGCCTGGGCACTGTCCCTCAGCTCTTCAGCTCAAGGCTAGCACTCTACCACTTGAGCCACAGGGGCCACTTCTGGCTTTTTCTGCTTATCTGGTGCTGAGGAATCGAACCCAGGGCCTCATGCATGCAAGGCAAGCATGCTAACACTAAACCACCCTCCCAGCCACACTATGAGGTTCTTTGTTTTTTTTTTTGGTTCCAGTCGTGGGGCCTGAACTCTGGGCCTGGGCACTGTCCCTCAGCTCTTCAGCTCAAGGCTAGTGCTCTACCACTGAGCCACAGCACCACTTCCGGCTTTTTTCTTTTTGCTTATGTGGTGCTGACGAATGGAACCCAGGGCCTCGTGCATGCAAGGCAAGCGCTCTACCACTGAGCCACCTTCCCAGCCCACTATGAGGCTCTTATAGCCAATGAACCACCATAAAACTGGAAGTAGAGCTATGGCTTAAAATGGTAGAGCACTAGCCTTGACCACAAAAAGCTCAGAGACAGCACCCAGGCTCTGAGTTTGAGCCCCATGACCATCACCAATAACAAAGGCACCATATAAAGGATACATGATTGGCAGCTAACATATATTAAAAGATATTTTTGTCTCAAGTCAAGAAATATTAAAATCCCTGATCAAGGCTAATATGGACAAGCATATTCAATGGCTGAGAAATTAAAATTAGTAAAATGGAGTAGAAATTTGGAAATAAGGGTTGAACTAAAAGTGGTAGTTATGGGCTGGGAATGTAGCTCAGTGGTAGAGTGCTTGCCTTATATGCATGAGGCCCTGGGTTCAATTCCTTAGTAGCACATAAGCAGAAAAAGCTGGAAGTGGCACTGTGGCTCAACTGGTAGAGCTTGAGCAGAAGAGCTGAGGGACAGCATCCAGGCCCAGAGTTCAAGCTCCACAACTGATCAAAAAAAAAAAAAAAAAAAAAGTGGCAATTGTACTTTTAGATAACACCTTGGATAGGTTCTACCCTTTTTATTTTATTTTCTGGTCCTGGGGCCTGAACTCTGGGCCTGGACACTGTCCCTCAGCTCTTCAGCTCAAGGCTAGCGCTCTACCACTTGAGCCTCAGTCCCACTTCCGGCTTTTTCTGCTTATGTGGTGCTGAGGAATCGAACCCAGGGCCTCATGCATGCAAGGCAAGCACTCTACCGCTGAGCCACCTTCTCAAACCCCAGGTTCTACCCTTTTTAAAGAAATCAGAAAATGTACAAATTAATATCCAATACATGACTTTTATTACAATGCAAAGGAGTTTCCATCCTAATCACTACTGGATATAGAAAAGCACCAACTTTCCATTTAAGCAGCAGCTTTTTCAGAGCATGATAAGAGCTGCCAAAAAGTCATTGGACTAACATGCAGCTGACATAACCGCTCATCAAGTCTAAAATGTCACAAAGATACTCCAAAGTAGTTGTAAGGCATGTTAACAGGTAACAGAACTGAGAATTCTACAAAGAGGTAAATTGAAGATAACACTCAAATACAAATTTCTTACATCTTTTGACCAGCTTGTAATGTATTCAAAACTCCTCAATACATTTTCTTGCCTATGTCATTTCCCCAAGAAATCGTTTCTCCCCATCAAGTATCAAGAACTAGTATTCCCTGAAACAAAACAAAAAACAAAAATTTCTTAGTTGGTCATGGGGCTTGAACTTAGGGCCTAGGTACTAGCCCTGAACTCATTTGCTAGCACTTTACCAATTTTGAGCCACAACACTCTCCGATGTTGAACCATGATCCTCAGATCTCAGCCTCCAGTGTGGCACCTGACTTTGTGAGACTTTTATCTCCACCAGAAGAAGCCAGAAGTAGAGCTGTGGCTCAAGTGGTAGAGTGTTAGCCTTGAGCAAAAAGGAGCTCAGGGACAGTACCAAAGCCCAGAGTTCAAGCCCCAGGACTAGCAAAAAAAAAAAAAAAAAAAAAGTGTGCTGGTGGCTATGCTTGTAATCCTAGCTACTGCGAAGGCTGAGATCTGAGGATCTGGGTTCAAAGCCAGCCCAGGCAGGAAAGTCCGTGAGACTCTTATCTCCAATAAACCATTCAGAAAACTAGACGTGGCACTGTGGCTCAAGTGGTAGATAGAGCGTTAACCTTGAGCTAAAGGACAGCGTCCAGGCCGAGTTCAAGCTCCACCACGCGCATGTGCACGCGCACACACGCACATCTCATAGACTTTCCTGACCTGTTATCTTTGAACTGTGAGTCTCAGATGTCAGCCTCCTGAACAGCCACGTTTATAGGTGTGGGCTGCTGGTGACCAACTTGAAACAAAACTTCTGAAGGGCATTGGCTTTAGGCTTTTTGCTAGGTGAAATATAGCTTTGGAGATATCTGATGCCTAGGAAAAGAAAAACACACTAACTTACAAAAACTAGTTGAAAAAAAATTCTCCAAGACCTTGCTTAGAACTTGAAGAACATGATTTTCCAAAGTAAAGCTAGTCTGGAATTTTATTATTATAAAGTCTAAGGCTAAATTAGTTGGTAAAATCTTACCAGTGGCACCATGATTTTCTCATTAGCCTCTGTCCATAATCCTATTTCTGCTAAGTAGCTGGGATTACAACCATTCACGGTAATGGCTAGAACTTCTAATTTCTCAATAGTTGTACTTCCTTGAACTTCATACTTTTTTTTTTTTGGGTCTGGTCATGGGGCCTGAACTCTGGGTCTGGGCACTGTCCCCTCAGCTCTTCAGCTCAAGGCTAACACTCTACCACTTGAGCCACAGCGCCACTTCCGGCTTTTTTCTTTTTGCTTATGTGGTACTGAGGAATTGAACCTAGGGCCTCAAGCATGCGAGGCAAGCGCTCTACCACTGAGCCACCTTCCCAGCCCCTCATACTTTTTCTTTTCAGCATGCTATTTGTGATGTAACTCAAGTCATGGAAGGCTTCTCATAGTCACTATCATTTCCTAGAGTTTACTAAAATACATGCTAGATGTGACAAGAGGCATTCCTACATTTATTTCTATAGGATCTTTCATAAGAATTCCCTAATACTGGGGCTGGGAAGGCTCAGTGGTACAGTGCTTGCCTTGCATGATTCCTCAGCACCACATAAGCAAAAAGAAAAAAGCTGGAAGTGGCGCTGTGGCTCAAGTGGTAGAGCGCTCGCCTTGAGCTGAAGAGCTGAGGGACAGCACCCAGGCCCAGAGTTCAGGCCCCACGACCGGACCCAAAAAAAAAAAAAAAAAAGAATTCCCTAATACTGACACCAAGGACAACTATTGACAATATTTACAGAATACATGCTACATGAGTGATGTCTTCCAAGTAATACCTGTTTAGTACTCACAGCAATCCTGTTAGACAGTTTGGTGGGCCAATTCTAAATTGGCCCCCAGTGATCCCTTTTTTCCTGGTATTCACAGTCCTGTAATCCTCATGTGTACTTGACAATAGCAAAGGTGGTTTGAGGTTACATCCAGGATAAGATTACAGAAGAATGTACCTTCCTTCCATCTAGTTAGTGTAGTTTCATTTACTAACACTACCTTCTCTTGCCCACTTCCATGAAACAAGCAGCAATGTTGAGGAGGTCATCGTGGCAGGAACTAAACTCAGCTTTCACTCAACAATCAGCTCGATATTAAAAGATCTCAATGCCAACAGCTCTCAAAAAACAAATTCTGACATCTAGTCTGTTAGCTTTACATGGATCCTTCCATATCTAAGCCTTTGGATGAAACCTCAGCCTTGGCTGAGACTTTGTAACCCTGTGGTGACAAGGACCCAAGTAAGTCCTGCCAGGATTCTTGATTTGTACATGGGTTTTCTTTTTGGCCAGTGCTGGGGCTTTGACTTTGGGCCTGGGCACTGTCCCTGAGCTTCTTTTGCTCAAGGCTAGCACTCTACCACTTGAGCCACAGCACCACTTCTGGCTTTTTGTGTTTATGTGGTACTAAGGAATCAAACCCAGGGCTTCATGCATGTAAGGCAAGCACTCTACTACTAAGCAACAGTCCCAGCCCCTTGTACAAGTTTTGAGATAATAAATATGTGTTACTTTTAAGCCCTAAGTTTTGTGGTAATTTATTATACAGCAATAAATAGCTAACAAACATAAGGACTATTATCATTTTACAATGAGCAAAGTAGGTACAAAAGATTAATCTCTGGTCCAAAAAAATCACAATAGTAATGAAGAAGGAAAATGGAGATGATAGAAGCAGCTGAAGATTTTGCCTACATTCATTACATTATTGAATAACATGGACATTCCGATGCTGTAATGTAATATGTCCATCAGAATGGTTTCTTGTCTTAAGCTCCATTGTGAATCTTGTGATGTTGAGTGAGGTGTGAGTGCTGTCGAAAGGCCTTTTTACACTCCTTACATTTGTAGGGCTTCTCTCCAGTATGAATTCTCTGGTGTTGGGTGAGAAATGAATAAAGTCTAAAGGCCTTGCCGCATTCCTTACATTCGTAAGGCTTCTCGCCTGTGTGAATGCTCTGATGCTGAGTGAGCTGGGAGAGCAGTCTAAAAGGTTTTTGACATTCCTTACACTCATAAGGCTTCTCCCCAGTGTGAATGCTCTGATGTTGTGTGAGCTGGGAGAGCAGGCGAAAGGCCTTCCCACACTCCTCACACTCATAGGGTCTCTCGCCCACATGAATGCTCTGATGGGAAATGAGTTGGGAGTAACTGCTGAAGGTCTTCCAGCAGTCCATACATTCATAGGGTTTCTCACGGGTATGGATTCTCTGATGGCGGACAAGCTGCTGCCGTAACCTAAAAGTTTTCCCACATTCCTTACATTCGTAGGGCTTCTCGCCCGTGTGAATACTCTGATGGACGGTCAGTTGCTGGCATATTCGAAAGGCCTTGCCACAGTCCTTACATGCATAGGGTTTCTCGCCAAAATGGATTTTCTGATGTACTCTAAGGTCTGGGCCACACACGAAGGCTTTCCCACATTCCTTACATTCATAGAGCTTCTCGGAATTATGGAGTCTCTGGTGTCGAGTCAGGTGCGTGCACTGTCTAAATGTCTTCCCACAATCTTTACACTCATAGGGTTTCTCTCCGGTGTGGATCCTCTGATGCCGAGCCAGCTGCTGGTGCACGCGAAAGGCTTTCCCACACTCCTTGCACTCGTAGGGTTTCTCCCCAGTGTGAAGTCTCTGGTGCTGCGTTAGTTCCTGGAGCACTGTGAAGGCCTTCCCACATTCCTTGCACTCATAGGGTTTTTCGCCAGTATGAAGTTTGTGATGGCGAATGAGGTGCGCTCGCTGTCTAAAGGGCTGCCCGCAAACCTTACATTTATAAGGTTTCTCACCTGTGTGGATCCTTAGGTGCTGACTAAGTGTTGAGCGCCGAATGAAGGTCTTCTGACATTCCTTACATTCATACAGCTTCTCTCCATTATGAACTCTTGGATAGTCAGTAAGAAAACTGTGCTTTTTGTAAGTAGTAACTTTACCAGAGGTAAGTTTCACCTGGCCCAAATAACTCTCTTCTTGTTCTTTTTGCTCCTCGGTCTTGCTTTTGCATGCCCAATCATGTCTAAAGATGGAGCCCTGTAAGCTATAGCTTTTCATTCTTTCCATTATCTCCCATTGTAAGGAAAATATTTCATAAATGTCCCTTTCTGGAGATGAAGTATTGGCACTGTATCTGGACTCCCAATCTGAAAGGAGACAAGAAAGCAAACACGTGCTCTCAAAAATAATGGATTCAAAAATAATGCCTGTAGGGAACTGTGAAGCTGAGCTGTGAAACCTGGGAAAGGTCTGAGAGACTGGAACGCCACTTTGACAGTACTTGGAACACTGAGAACTGGCCATAAAAGGGTTAAAAGAGACAGCTATGGAGAGGGTTAAGAGACTGAAATGCTGCCCCCCTTCCTTAGTGCTAGAAGGGCTGGGAGCTAGACCTTGAAGGGCAAACAAAGGGCTGAGGACTAGACCCTGAAGGCTAGATAAATGGAATACGTATCTGGACTTGGCCTGGGTTGCAGTCTTCAGGAACCAGTGTTTCTCAAACTCTGTTTTGGCTCTGATTGCAATGTTAGTATAGATGTTTGATGTTTTTCATCTATTTATGGTAACCTTCCCTGTGTGAACTCAATCAATATACTCACTTGTGGTAATTTGGGGTCCAAGAGTTAGTGAGCCTTGGGGCCCCTGGTCCCCACTAAATTTGTCTCTTTATTTTCTCTTTCTTCGGCTCCAATATCCTGTCCCACTGCCTCGGTTGTGGTTAACAACAAATGCTTATTATAAGTAAAGGACTAGATCTCTCTCCCTCTCTAACACAGGTATATATATAAAATCCCTGCCTCCTACAACACTATATACCAAGAATAACAGACTAAGGGCTGTGGTAGAGTACTCAACTCTGTGATTTTATTAGTAGTAGACTAACAAATATAGCAGGTATCTCAAGGGGTAACCTAAACAGTAGCTGAAGGTCACTTTATATGAATATTAAAACACACAGAAGTAGAAATTCTATATTTCATACACTATAACACTGTATAGGTAAATAAAGCCTGATTTGAGCATGGTGATGTGCACTTACAGGCCCAGCCATTAGGGACACTAAGGCAGAAGAATCACTTGAGCCCAGGAGTTCAAAACCTGACTGAACAATATAGTGAGATGAAAAAGACAGACAGACAAAAGGGGTGAGAGAAGAAGGAGAAGGAGAAGGAGAGGGAGGGAAGAGAGAGGGAAGAGTGGGAGGGAAGGGGAGAAGAGAGGGAAGGAGGGAGGGAATCCCAGAGCCAGTTTGGAAGCCAAGGTGGGAGGTAAAAGTATGGTGAGACACAGGTAGTTGCAAGGGGCCATGACAGAATGATGGTGCATATACCTCAGAGAAGGAAGCCCTGGGTTCATCTAGCTACTACATTTCTTTTCTTTCTTTTTTTGATCGGTCGTGGGGCTTGAACTCTGGGCCTGGGCACTGTCCCTGCACTCTTCAGCTCAAGGCGAGCGCTCTACTGCTTGAGCCACAGTGCCACTTCCAGTTTTCTAGTGGTTTATAGGAAATAAGAGTCTCATGCACTTTCCTGCCCGGGCTGGCTTGGAACCGCAATCCTCAGATCTCAGCCTCCTGAGTAGCTAGGATTACGGGCGTGAGCCACTGGAGCCCAGCTACTACATTTCTTAAAATGGAAGTAAAAGGGCTCCTGACAATAAAGCATCAAGGTTAAGGACTTTTCATGCTGAATCTTACAAAGCTCCATTAATTTGGCCCCACTCAGCTGGAAAAATATAAACTGACTATCTTGATGGACTGGAGCTGTGACTCAAATGTTAGGGAGACCCTGAGTTCAATATCCGATACCAAAATAAAACAACAAAATCTCAAGGTTTTATTTTCCCTACAGTTAGGCAAGTTAGTTCAAAATCCATAGGGAAAAATAAACAGCCATCAGAAAGGTGGAGAGAAAGAACAAGGCAAAGGGAATATCTCAAGAGATGCTAGAAGTACAAAAAAAAGCCAAGTGCCAATTGCTCATGTATATAATCTTGGCTATTCAGGAGGCTGAGATCTGAGGACTGTGGTTTAAAGCCAGCCTGGGCAAGAAAGTGTATGAGACTCTTATTTCCAACTAAGTACCAAAAAAGCGAGAAATGGTGCTATGGCTCAAGTGGTAGAGCACTACTAGCCTTGAGCACAAAAAGTTCAGGGACAGTGCCCAGGCCCTGAGTCCAAGCCCAGGAATGGCATAAAAAAAAAGTAAAAATAATAACATAGGATGTTGATAACAAAAAGAGTAAGCTTGGGGTTTGAGGCATGGCTCAAGTGGTAGAACATCAACCAGTGAGGGAAAGCGTAAAATACCGAACTCAAGTCCCAATCTTAGGTCAAAAAAAAGAAAAAAAAAAATTAAGCTGTTTTGAGTAAACAAACTATTAATAACATTGATGTTTTATCTAAAACAAATATGTACGTAAGCATGTATTTGGGATAAATAAGTTAGTATAGACACATTTCTTTTGTTGTTGTTGGTCATGGGGCTTGAACTCTGGGCCTGGGTGCTGTCCTTGAGCTCTTTAGCTCAAAGCAAGCACTCTAGCGCTGGAGCCACAGTGCCACTTCCGGTGTTCTGCAGGTTAATTGGAGATAAATCTCAACAGACTTTCCTGCTCAGGCTGGCTTTGAACCATGATCCTCAGATCTCAGCCTCCCGACTAGCTAGGATTACAGGCATGAGCCACTGGCATCCAGCTTAGTGTAGACACATTTCATAGAACCTATTATGGATGAATGCAATCTCCCTCAAATTCATTCACACACACACACAAATGAAGGAGATTAGAGCTGGCCCTTGTGAAGGGATTTGAGAAAACAGCAAGCAGGCAGCCATTCATAGGCAGAAGGGACCCTTACCAGAACCTGCCTATGCTGGCACACTCAGCTGGGCCCTCTACAACTGTGAGAAAATAAGTACCTATACATAGCTTATGCCATTTTCAGTAACTTATATAGGTTGACAGAAAGATGACACTGAAGTTCCAGGTCAAAGAAACAGCCACTCTTTTTGGAAATCTTTTATCCAACCTCAGCATTTCCATTTTCACTTTTTATTTGGAAAGACTTGTAAGTTCATAGGAAGTTGTACAGAAATACACAAAAAAGTCCCATGTACCCCTCACCACAATATTCAAGCCAAGAAATTTGTTAGTATATATGGTATAATCCACAGAACCTGGATTTCACAATGTATGCATGCATCCATCTATATGTCTAGCTCTATGCAGTTTTATCATGTGTAGCCCTGCATTAATGCCTGCCATAATCAAGATACTTAATTGTACCACAAGCACAGGACTCCTGTTACTCTGTTACAGCCCTAGCCATCCTAACCATTCTATATCTCCATTTGTCTTGTCATATGATGTTTATATGTTTGGGTCTGTATTGTGCATATGTGTGGCAATACTGGGGCTTGAACTTGGGACATCATGCTCTTTTTTTTTTAGTTAGTTGTGGGGCTTGAACTCTGGGCCTGGGCACTGTCCCTCAGCTATTCAACTCAAAGTGAGCACTCTACCACTTAAGCTACAGCGCCACTCCTAGTTTTCCAGTGGTTTATTGGAGATAAGAGTCTCATGGCCAGCCGGGCGCTGGTGGCTCACGCCTGTAATCTAGTCAGGAGGCTGAGATCTGAGGATCGCGGTTCAAAGCCAGCCCGGGCAGGAGAGACCGTGAGACTCCTATCTCCAATAAACCACCAGAAAACCGGAAGTGGCGCTGTAGCTCAAGTGGTAGAGCGCTTGCCTTGAACTGAAGAGCTGAGGGACAGCGCCGAGGCCCAGAGTTCAAGCCCCACGACCGACAAAAAAAAAAAAAAAAAAAGAGTCTCATGGCCTTTTCTGCACTGGCTGGCTTTGACCCGTGATCCTAGATCTCAGCTTCCTAAGTAGCTAGGATTACAGGCGTGAGCTACTGGCCCAGCACATCATGCTCTTGGTTGTTTTTTACTCAAGACTGGCTCTCTATCACTTTAGCCACAGTTCCACTTCTGCCTTTTTGGTGGTTAACTGGAGATAAGAGTCTCAGGGACATTTCCCCCCTGGGTTGACTTTGACCTGTGATGCTCTGCATCTCAGCTTAGCTAGGATTACACGTCTGAGCCACCAGCACCTGGCTTGGATCCTTTTTTTGAGATAGGGTCTCAATAACTTTTGTTTTCACTCCAGATGGCCTTGAACTGTCATTAGACAGGTGGATTACAGCTGTATCACCACTCCCAGATATATTACTTTTTGTTGTTTTCTTCTACTGAAAACAGCTTCTCTCTTTGATGTGGAAATGAAATCTGGAAAGTGAAAACCAGTGTTATCAGGGAGCTGGTGTCTCCTGTCTGTAATCCCAAGCTATTCAGGAGGCTGAGATCTGAGAATCACTGTTCAAAGCCAGCCCAGGCAGACTCTTATCTCCAGTTACCACCAGAAAACCAGAAGTAGAGTGCCTCAAGTAGAGTGCTAGCCTTGAGCTGGAAAGGCCAGGGACAGCTCCCAGGCTGAGTTCAAGCCCCATAAATGACAAACAACAACAACAACAACAACAAACACAGTAATTGTGGGGGGGGGGGAAGGAGAAGGATTGGGATTGGGGGGGAGGGGGGAGGCTGGGAAGGGATGTGAAGGGTAAACCAAAGGAGGAGGCTGCAATGCTTGGTAAGAAATGTACGCATTATCCTGCCCATGTAATTGTAACCCCTCTGTACAGTATGTTCACAAATAAAATAAAATTAAATAAAAAAAAAAGACAAATCCCAAAGAGAAAAGCACAGATAAATAAAAAATTATGAAAAATAAAAATAAAAAAAAACAAACACAGTAATTTTGCTAGTCCACACATGAAAGAGCTTAATGTGTTTCAAGGTTCCTTAAGCCCTCTCCCCACAAGCTTTAG